TGCCATTTACCTCCCAAAGACCAATTCCATCGCACAGGCTTGGCCTTCTCCGGGTTCCATCTGCCAGCCAATGTCGGCTGGCGACCCCTCAGAGGAGAGTCTTCTCTGTTGCTGCTCCGGCCCTCTGGAGCGAGCTCCCCGTGGAGATCCGGACCCTCACCACCCTCCCGGCCTTCTGTAAAGCTACTAAGTCCTGGCTGTTCCGGCAGACTGGGGGCTTTTGAAATAGCCAGCCCCGCTCCATTTGTGACTGTTGTGTTTTTTTAATATTGTTTGTATTGTCTTATTTATCCCCTCCCGCGTTTTATTGTGAGCCGCCCGGAGTCCTTCGGGATTGGGCGGCATACAAAACCAATAAACGAAACGAACAAAACGGAGGAGAAAAGGGCTCCCCCCCACCCCCAAGGAGCATTCTCTGAGCTGGTACATTTTGGCTGTGGTGGCCTATCTTGGTTTCCCTTGGGTGAACTTTCCTGGAGGTGATGTTAGTAGGTTCTCTGCTCTACCTACCATTAAATGTGTTATAGATTGCTGATGATGTTATCTAGATCCTGCTCTTCCTCCTCCTCCTCCTCTCTGCAAACCCCACTGCCTTCTAGCACTGATGATGTTACTTAGATGGATAATGAAAGGTCTGCAAGAAAACCAGCAAGCTCAGAGAGCACCAGGGACCCCACAGTCCTCCTCCTTCCTCCTCCTCTTTCTCTTCTTCCTCTCCCCTCCCCTCTTCCTCTGCCTCCTCAACACAGACCCCTCTGGCTTCTAGCACTGAGGATGTTCCCTAGTTGGGTCATGAAACATCTGCAAGAAAACCACCAAGCTCAGAGAGCACCACAGTCTTCCTTCCCTCCCTCCTTCCTTCCTTCTTTTTCTTCCTCCTCTCATCTCCCCCTCCTCTTCCTTGCAAACCCCACTCCCTTCTAACACTGATGATGTTACTTAGTTGGGTCAGGAAACACCTTCCAGAAAATCACCAAGATCCAAGAGCAACAAGGACCCCACAGTCTTCTTCCTCCTCCTCCTCTTCTCCCTCCTCTTCCCCTTCCTCTTCCCTTTCCTATTCTCCTCCTCCTCCTCTCTACAAATCCCACTCCCTTCTAGCATTGATGATGTTCCCTACTTGGGTCATCTTCAAGAAAATCACATCTTCAAGAAAATCACATCTTCAAGAAAATCACCAAGCTCCAAGAGCAACAAGGACCCCACAGTCTTCCTCCTCCTCCTCCTCTTCTCCCTCCTCTTCCCCTTCCTCTTCTCCTTCCTCTTCTCCTCCTCTCTACAAATCCAACTCCCTTCTAGCATTGATGATGTTCCCTACTTGGGTCAGGAAACATCTTCAAGAAAATCACCAAGCTCCAAGAGCAACAAGGACCCCACAGTCTTCCTCCTCCTCCTCCTCCTCTTCTCCCTCCTCTTCCCCTTCCTCTCCTCCTCCTCCTCCTCCTCCTCCTCCTCCTCTACAAATCCCACTCCCTTCTAGCATTGATGATGTTCCCTAGTTGGGTCAGGAAACATCTGCAAGAAAAACACTAAGATTGAGGAGCCAAGGTGGCGCAGTGGTTAAATGCAGCACTGCAGGCTGACTGCTAGATCAGCAGTTCAGCGGTTCAAATCTCACCGGCTCAGGGTTG